TCCTTAAAAATCAGTGAGTATGAGCATTTGGTTATCCTACACTTTTGTGTGTCTTTTGATTAATGTTTCAAGGTCAATTTCGTGATTTCACTATCATAAACAGGGAAAAGTATGGCAAATACAGTTTTAACAAAGACACCAGTGTGCCACACATTATTAAGTGAACTTAAATGTTACTTAATTAATATTCAAAAAAACTGTATTTATATTTAATAGTATCAGGCGTTACTACGCGGAATANGAATAGCGCTTAGTGTATTTGTCACAGTGCAGCAGTGCTTACAAAATATGTACCTGCACTATTTTTATATTAAAGCTTTCATGAGGTCATGGTCATGGCCGCCATGCTTATTTAGAGGAGTAAACAAAACAACCATCGCCGTCTCCTTCTCCATAACCATTGAGACATTTATACGTCAATAGAAACCTGAATCACTACTAAATCCCATACATCTCGTATTTACGTTTATAACTACCGTAACTTAGGCAATAAACGTTTGGAGTATCGGCGGGAGTTATTGCATTGGCGTCGTAAAAGACAATTTTTATGTAATTTTAAGAACTGAAAGTTCTTTATTGCGTATCGAGGCGCACAATTTAACTTTCCCATCGATTGTTGCTTGAACGCGATTTTCCGACTGGGTACCTTCGGATAGGCGGTGTTGATACTCCAGAGGGTTGATTCGTATGATGCTTTAACATTGTGATTATTACTGGTTTTAGTGACAATATTTGAAGAGATAATACGATTCCATTGAATGGATAATAAATTGACAAAATTTTGTAATAAATTACCTTTTAACAAATTGTTATTTTAAAACCAGCTGATGCTGCTTGTCCGAAATGTCATCATTGAAAATATGGCTTATTGTTGTAATTTCTACATACAAACTAGTTGTGATTGCGATAGATACAGATATTCACATAGAATATAATAATCAAGTTTGGCACTGTAGCATCGTATTAATAATGGTGATAAGATCTATTTTAAAACAAAAATTGTTAGTTTAATGTGCCTGTCTATAGAGGCTCGGATTACAAAATTACAGCACTAAAAGGCATGGCAAAATTAAATATCGATTTGTTTCACTAAACTAGCTGAAACCTATCACATAAAATGTGTGTTCGCGCTTTACTTTAAAATATAAAGAACATTAAACATGATATCGTAAAACTGAATTGAAATTTTAACGACTCTCGACGATCACAAGGAATAATGATTTTCACTAAAACAACAGTGTAACGGGAAAGGGTCATTGTTGTCCCCATAGGGTTGAACATGGGTCTTTAAGCTATGATTACGTCATCAAAAAGTCTAAAATATATAAGTCATATGGAAGAGTATAGCAGAACGTTGACAACGAACTTCAATGAACACAACNTTCTTCCAGGGGGGGTGCGACAAGTTTTTATTTCTTACCTGATTAAAATTTCAAATGAATTAAATAACAAAAAAAAAACTTATTCCTAAAGGTCCACAGCTCTATTGTTCAAAAAATCATACTTTGACCCCCAACAGGTCGACCATTTCGACGACATTATAAATAAAAAAAAATAAAAAAAAAACATTTTTGGTTCATTTTAAAATTTTATTTACCTGATGGGAAAAACAGAGTCGTGGACCTTTTGGGAATAACTATAAAACATTTGAAGAACAATTTGAATTTGAGTGTTGAATGTAGATACTCAGGTAATATAATTTGAAACTTTTAACTAGCAGCTACTGTACATAACGGGAAAAAGTTTATAACAAGTGGTCTAGTTTTGTAATTAGATTCTAATTCATAAAATTTTTTAGGTATTCATTGTTTAGAATCGAATTACCTACACAACTTCTCTGAATCTGATTTAAAACGAAACAATTGGGTTGTTCAAAGTGCAAGTAACCTTAATATTAGGCTAACATGAGAACATTTAGAATAATTAATGACTAATTAATGAATGATAGACGCAACCTAACTTAGGTTACGCTAAATACAAACAATAGTCTGAAGTGACAACCCTAAATTACGCAATCGCATTACCAAGCCGTATTCGAAATCATTAAGCTCATCTCGAAATAAAACAGTTCGTTATTTAATGATAAATTACACCAATCTCGCCGGACAATTAATCCGGCGATGACAATTTAATACCAAAAGTTAGTTAATTGTGGCTGACTTATATTAATTTGAAACAGATTCGTGAAATCGTTTCGGCTGTATTAGGGTCTGTCATTGTAATGGCCAGGGGGTGCTTTCAACCAAGTTAAAGATGATTGCACCATTAAGTATGGTGGATGATGGTAATCGACGCCTTGTTTTCTAATGGCTTACGTACCTAAGGAGAACTAGGTAAGTAAGTCATCTTGTAGGTGAATGTCCTACGCTGCGCTTGCCGTCTTTTGCCTCCACTCCAGGACCTTGTTGCTTCGACCTCATAAAGGTAAGTACACTGGATACCGGCCAATGTGAAAATAATTGAGTAAGGCTTATGTTTAATAGTGGACGTCAATGATGATTAAGGTACCGAAACCTGAAATTACCCGATGGCTGAAGCTACATGTCACATGTAGCAAGGTTCTAACATCATCCCCCTCATATCTCGTAGCTCCAATTTTGACGGAACCTTTTTGAAAAAATTGACGGAACCTTTGTGAGAGGTGAAGCAGTTAATAGACAAGTCAGGGCTAGAAAATAGGACTCAGTAGCTAAGTATCAGAATTGGTGGCGTCGTGCATCGGTTTTAAAGGAATTCCTAGTTAATTGTACTTTACGAACAATCTCGAAACTTGGCCGTCTACAACTGCCACTCGTCAGTTCTGCTACAATTAATAAGTTCCTATCCTTCACCCACTTGCGTTGTGGGTCAAAATGTAGAATAACAGTGATTTCATAGTCTAGCGAAGTATAATGTCGCTGATAGAAAAGCGTGAGGCAGCGATATGAATCGCTGTATCAATAGAGGGGCGTCTATTCAAGAGAACGTATTTAGGTCTCGTAGGGAACGCAAATGTTGCGATTTTCTCCGGAATTTGGTGCCGATGTAAGTTTTGAACTCTATTATATAGGATCTACAGAGACTTGAAATCTTCTTTGTGACGATGACAAACTCCAAGCAGTTTCAAGTGTTTTCTTTAGATGCTGATTAGATAAATGTGTCTTCTTTAACATCTCCAAAATACGCAGTGTTTTTCATTACTTGCACTAGCTTTAATCCGGAAACCGAATCACAATAATTTCCGGTTCCGCGTCATAAAAGTTAGGTGAGACTGCTTTGTCCTTAGACAATAATCGCTGCATTGTTTAGGATATTAGTAACTACTCAAAATCATTAATGAAAAAAACAGTTTAACATTTTGCTAGCGAAAAAAACGATAGGTAGGTACCTATCTATAAATATCCCATCAAAAACAATACTTGTCAAAAAAACCAAGTCTCGCAACTCAGTTGTTCTACGGTAAAAAGTTGTGAGATCCATGTAATACCAAGTCCAGGCCAGGAAATCTTTAACGTTTTACATAAATTATTGACTTGGCCATCGCACTAAATAATTTAATTTACACGTGTTTTCATGCGATGGCCAAGTTTATGTAAAACGTTAAAGATTTCCTGGCCTGGAATTGGTATTACATGGATCTCACAACTTTTTACCGTAGAACAACTGAGTTGCGAGACTTGGTTTTTTTGACAAGTATTGTTTTTGNACCCGTAAACGTCACATGAACTGTCAAAGTGAAAAATTGGTAAACACGTCCGACGAATTTTAATTAATTATAACGGTTTGTGCTGTGAAAGGGTGTCTAAAATACATCAGAAAAACGAAAGAAAGTGACCAGTGTTACATTTCATAAGTAAGTACTACAATTCGACGCGTATTTTGCTTGGATTTGGCTTTCAAAAATTAAATACGGGAATGACACCAGTAACAAGAAAATTTATTTCCCAATTGTTAGCCGTACAAATACACTTCCTTTTTTATGAAATCGAGACTTTTAAGTCGATTTATCTTATTGTTATTAGGTAGGTACTTTGAATTCAATAAATAAGTAAGTACATGATGCGTTTTGTTTTTGTTAATTATAAAATAATTAAAAACGTATTAAAAATTTCCCTACTTTCGGGAAAATCGCCTTAACTGTCTACACTCCCCAACAAAATTGACACTAATGACATAAGATTTTTGCCTCACTCTTGACGAAGCGTTTGTATGAAGACTATCCATCTAGGTTTTATTAATCTAAGCAGGGAGGTAGTTTAGAGCCAGGAGAAGGACATAGGATACTTTTTATCCCGTTCGAAATTAAAAAAAAAGTCTGCTTATTTATTGCCATTAAGGCGGAACAAAGTTCGCCGGGTCAGCTAGTTACTCATAAAAACGCGTTATAATTTTTTTCGAATTAAAGAATCCGAACAAAAAGGTGTCATTTCTCTGTAATTATTCTGATGTCTTGCATCAAGAGTTGGAGTCACCAGCCGAGTAGGGCAAATGCAGTGAGGTAGCCGAGGACAAAACGTTTCTTTATTTCATTAGAATGCATTCAGCGCGGCGCATTGTGTGTGAAAATGCAGGTGAAAGCGTTCTGCCTTCTTTCTAAACAATTGAGCTTTTTATTGCAAGGTGAATTTACTAAATAAATAGTTTTGGTAAAAAGTGTCCTTCTTCTGTAACTTTGCTTAGGAATGTGGGAGATTTTAATAAATTTTCTTATCATAGAGTTTACCTGCTTTAGAATAATGCAGCATGATGCAAGGATGTATTTTGAATGTATATAGCCATTAATTAAATAAAGCCTTTCCAAGAAAATTACTTTTATTTTAATTTTTTGAAAATTTTAGTCAGATAAAAATAAATACATAAAAAAATCATTTTAAAAACTTTTCATAAAATATTAAAATTAATATTCATCAAGTAAATCATCAAGTTTTACTATTTTATTATTTTTACAAATTAATAATTGTTTGTTTGCAAACGTGAAACGAAACGCGGCTGTCACTGTCAACGTCAAAAATTCCAACCAGGCGTATGTCATCCAAATAATTGTTTTGGAAAATCCGGAAGTTGCATTATTTTTTAGAATTCTTTATATATTTCGTCATATTAAAGTGTGTTGTTAATTGCATGACCCTTTTTGAGTGTCCCAGTAACCATAATCCTACCAAATTAAGTGATATCTTTGTGTTGTGAGCGAAAAACCAAGTGCTCTCTTTTTGTTCCAATTTGACTGGGATATCATCTGTTCCTTTGTCTAAAAATGGATTATGTTACCAATCTGAAGATCCTGGTGATCGGCGAGAGTGGTGTTGGAAAGTCTAGGTGTGTATTTATGCATTTTTTACAATAACAAGATAGTAAAGGATTACGTATAACGTGAGTCATTATTTTCTTGATAAGTAGCTTTCATACTAGTTCTGTGGCAATATTTTCCTCATTATTACGTGAGATACAGATTTGAATTGATTGGTTTACCTCACAGATTGCAAAAGTAATTTTTGTTGATAATCATTTGTTTGTATGCCCTTGATTTTATTACCCCAAGGCTAACTAGAACAAAGTAAAATCTATTGCGTTTTATTTATTGCCATGTTGACCAGTGCGTAATTTTATGCTCAAAATATTACTAAACTGGTTGATTTACTTTTTCTTTCATACTAAATTTTGTCCTAGCCGACTATAAAATTGACACAAATTATCAACAGAATCTTCATCTTACTTCATCCATGTGAAGTTTGTAAAATACACACAGAACAAAATTAATAAATTATTTAATTTGTTTTTTTATACCAAAGTTGTATTTTAGCATTATCCTAGCGTTCACAACTGGCGACTATAATGCATCGTTCCCGGCCACTATCGGAGTTGACTACAAATGTAAGGTGATGGACGTGAACGGAGTCAAAGTTAAGCTCGGCATTTGGGATACAGCGGGACAGGAACGATATAGAACGCTAACATCAAGTTTTTACAGGTATTTTATATTTTAAGAAATTCAATCTTATTTTTGTTACATAAAATCATTATTTTTATCATTATTATTGATGATGTTTTATTGGCAAATCAATTTTTAAAATTCTATTTTTAATGCTAAAGAGTCGTTACTCAAAATAAATTATTATTAGTTAAAAGTTACTAAAAATATCAATTATTTATTTGTTGTCATTTCAAATAGCTAGTTTTTATTGCAGTTTAAAATATAAATTATTAATACAAGTTCTAACAGTGTTTTGAATAAATTGTCAATACTAAATACAAACAAGTATTATGTGAGTTAATTATTTAAAAGTTATTTTAATATTTTAGAGATGCCCATGGTGCAATATTAGTGTATGATATATCAGAACCAAAATCTCTGGACAAACTAAAGGAATGGGTAGAGGAATTGCAAGTTTATTCAACAAAGAAAAATATTGTCTGTTTAGTTGTCGGAAACAAAATTGATAAGGTAAGTACATAATTATTATGTTATTAACTAACTTTTGAGATCCCTTAACTCTAGAAATTCTATTACAATGACCATACGCCGTACAAAACTTTCCCTTTTAGTTTTTTGATGATTTTCCTAGTTTGGAGGTCTGTATGTTTGTTACTCTTTCACGCAAAAGCTACTGAACGGATTTTGATGAAACTTTACAGTATTATTGTTTCTAACCCAGAATAAAATATAGGCTGTAATTTATGACGATCTGTGACAAACCAAATTTCACGCGGGTGAAGCCGCGGGCGAAAGCTAGTTTTTAATGAATTAATAACCATGCCCAGTCCGTGTCTATAGGGTCTAATGATCCCACTTTGGTGCTTTTCCACCTTCGTAACACCTGTATAGCCAAAATGTATGGTTTGGTCTCCAAAGAAATCCAACCAATGAAGGTCTCTTTCCCACTGTAGCTTCACTATTCTAAGGCTGGGTTGCACCATCTTACTTTAACAATGGTTTAAAAGCCGTTAAATTCCATACAAAAAACACTGGTTATCGTTATAGTTATGTTAGGTGGTGCAACTCAGCTTGACGACCAACAAACACTGTAATTTTTTTTCTACCTTTGACATTTTTTAGATGAGATTCAGATATCTGGGTGTTTAAGCGATAAGTGACCATAACAATGCATTTCTGTTTCAAAATAATTTGTAAGTTTTTGCTATTAGAGTATAAAATGGTCTGTTCCTTATCATAGCCTAGGGCGGTGCCTCGTGAAAAAGGCCAGGCGTTCGCTCAGAAGCACAGGATGCTGTTCATAGAAAGCAGCGCCAAGACCCAGGAGGGGATCAGCTTGGCTTTTGAGGAACTGGTGCAGAAGGTATGTTTTTAGTTATTACTAGAATCATTAATTTCGCTAAAAGTAATTTTTTATTTTTATTTTTTTTTATCCACAACGAGGAAGCTCTTGGCCTGTATCTATTAATTAATTACTTACATCTTTTAATAATGAATTGGATGGATTATTTTAACGTTAATTTACAAACATGTTTTACGACCCGTTACACATTTTTTTAAATAAACTCATATGTCATGCCATAATATTTCAAAATATCTCCTATTTCGTTTGACGGTGAAAACTGAAATCAAAGTAGAGACTGCCACGAATACGCGTGCGTTCGTTTGAGCGGTCAGTTTCAGCATTTCTTTAGACACAGACAGACTGTTATTTACTTTATTATTTCGTGTGTTTTCGTTGCTATTTCAATTTATTTTCAACTAGCTCACAAACCAATGTGATGCAGCGTTTAAAGCCAAAGTATACGATGCGTTGCAGCGCGGCGTTGTGACCCCGGAGAGATCTTTGCGGTGCGGCGCCGCAACGCATCGTGTGCTTGGCTCTTATTGATGGTTCAGTTTCAAACAAATGTATTCCCCCTAGATCATCGAAACCCCTGGGCTCTGGGAGACCTCCGGGCCCTCTTCAAACATCCGGATAACCAACGAGGAGAGAAGGCAGCAAGAGGCCTCCTCCTGTTACGACTACACCTGTTCCATATAATGCTGGTGGAGTTGGTTGGCTTTACACTGAACTGATTTGTGAAGTACAGATGAAGGAGTTTTCTGATGATTGACCCTGCTATTAACTGGACCCGCGGTTCCAGTCGCCGGGTGACATTTTTTGCTCTTTTTTTATGGGACAGGAGGGCAACGACCAGACGGATCTGTCACACTTCACCTCTTGTACTATCGGCAACAGTGTTAACTGACCATTGCCGGTCATGTCGTCTCGTTCTATCGCAAAGAATCACCATTTGATGAGAGCGAGAGCAAACACGGAAATGAATAGTTAACACTGTGGCCGCGTGTACTTGTAGTAGCGTGACGTGTTTAATTCCTAGTATTTTGGTTTTGTGTTAATTTTTTTTACAAACATTTTTGCGCAAAACAAAAAAAAGCTTACGCCTCGCGAACTGTACACATTGATGGTGGGCCCATTTGTTGGAAGAGAGAGTATTTTAAATACCAATCTAGTGACTGGATCCGCGGGTCCAGTTAAAAGCGGGGTCAGTCGACGGAAGAATCGAAGTGGAGGCAAGTTACCCTTTGCAACGGAGTACAATGGTGTTAGATATTTTTATATTACCATATCGTGATTCACGTGTCATTTTTTTCATTCATGTTTTTATCTTTGGGTATACATTTCTTCTCAATTTAGATAAAGTATAGCAATATTTAGCATTCCCTGGGGAGCATTTTCTTCATCATAACTAACGTAGTAGTGCATTATCACAAGCAATATTAACTTAGATTTTTTGTGTGACAAAAAATTAGGACAATTGAGTTCACTGTAATGTGTTTTTAATGCATTCGCAGTAGATATAAATTTTTGCATGAACAATTTGTGGCCAATTTTCGTAAATAAAACTATCATCTCTTTAATTAATTAACGCACATGTTATTATAACTTTAAAGCATGTGCGTTCCCTTCGAGAGGCCACTGTGGAAAACGAAGGTTTCGTATACATAAAGATTTAGCAGAACCTCTAAAACAAATGTAGCCAGAATGATAAATTTGTAGGTGTTGTAAGTTGGACGCTACAACTCGCCGAATGTGGTCCCTCAGATGAACTATGTCAAATACTAAATTACTGAATCTGACCAAATAAGATGATTTTGATGAATGGTAATATTTAGGAGGTAAATCGTAGGGCTACATACGAAAATAAGAGCTCTGCATAGTTACTGCAAATAAAGAAAATCCAATCAAACGATGGGCCCTCAGTTCTCCAGTGCACAAAATTTACTTTAATGCTACAAATTGGAACTTGAGACTAAGTTTCTTTAGTAAGGTTTTAATTTCAGCAGAAGTAGCCACAATGCTACCCTGAGAGTACAGGGTTTATATATTCTACTAGTACAGAATAAAAGCTCTAGTAAAGTGAGCCCTCAGAACACACGCTAAAAACCAATTCCATGAGAAATATCTCGCCCAACACATTGTTTGATAAAAATAGTTTACAGCATTTTATGTACAAAATTTGCAGTTTAAAATTGTGTTCAAATATTATTGCTATATAAAGTATTTAAAGAAATATCTTGCTTCTTAAATTCTCCGTAATGATTTTGTGTATGTTAACCACATTGTCGATTTTTTTAGGAAACTCAAAACAAAAGTTTAAGTACCTAGGTATTCTGTACGATTGCCTAAGAGGTATTTTGAGATAAATCCGAGTCTATTGATTTATTTTTATTTTAATTAAATACGACGTAAAAATAATTTTATTTAAAGTTCCTACGCATTGTGTGATACGGAAGAGATTTAGAGCTGTGATACAACAAAATCGATTATTGCCGCGGTTCATTAATCAATAGCAGTGAATCGTTCGTTCGTTTCAGCCAAAAGACGTCCACTGCTGGTCAAAGGTCTCCCCCAAGGATTTCCACAATGGCCGGTCCTGTGCCGCTCGCATCCAGGTACCTCCCGCGACCTTCACCAAATCTTCGGTCCAGTGGGAGGCCTGGCCACGCTACGACCTCCAGGCTATGTCAGTCACTTTGGTTCTCCTACGAATCTCCTCATTTCTGATTCGATCACGTAGAGAAACTCCGAGCATAGCTCGCTCCATCGCCCTTTGGGTGACCTTGAGCCTTCATGAGGCCCATAGTAAACGACCACGTCTCAGATCCGTATACCATCACTGGCAACACACACTGGTCAGTCTTAAGACACTGCGGTATTTCGGACGTGAGAATATCGCGAAGCTTCCCGGCGGACGCTGCCCAGCCGAGTTGAATTCAACGATTGAGTGAAAATCACCCTGTATACATGGTGATTTTGTTATCAGTATACTTTTTTTTATTATGCTCTATCTATAGAAATACACTCAACATCAAATAAACCGCAACTTCGGCGACTCCAACTTTAAAATGTTTCTTCTGACACAATCATGGTGCCCCAACAATGTTGGTGTTATTTGAAAGCCCAATAAATATCCTTAAAGAAAAACTAATTAAATAAACGATTAACATATACCTACCATAAATGTGACTTGAAAAAAGACCTCACTTTGGGCTCACCTCTGGGATCATTTAGATCATTTTTTATGATTATAAAACCAAATAATGATCTCACGTGTCCTCTTTAAAACAGATCGATAGCGATTAATCCCAACTTAACAGTTTTATAGCCATAAAACTTGGCTCAAGCGTAACTACCTATTTTTTGAAGAAGTGACTCTGGATCCTTCTAAAGACACATTTTTGGGGTAAAAACCTTTCCTATAATGAAATGAAGTTTAGAACTAGGCTTTTAAATGGTGCAAATATTGGTGGGAAGTGGGGATGCATACATTTGAAAGTGCTTGTCGCGGGAGGTGCGATTTATTTGATGTCAAGTGTATTTAACAGTACAACTTTATCTTGATTTTTTTTAATCGTGGTATAGGTTGTGTAGGGACACTTTTTCTAGTTATCCATTAATTTTCTGATGTGTGGTTACCCTAATACGAATATTTTGTTCACACATAAATGAGTCAGTTTTATTTCAAGAAAGGAAATATTTACACACCATACAGATACTTAAGTTTGTACTACGAAATGACTACGTTTTTTATGTTATTATTTTATATTATTACACCTTCCACCTTGTCTCTAAATATGATAACTTTTTTCTAAAACGTGTGGCCCGAGGGCTCACTTTACTAGAGCTTTTATTCTGTACTAGTAGAATATATAAACCCTGTACTCTCAGGGTAGCATTGTGGCTACTTCTGCTGAAATTAAAACCTTACTAAAGAAACTTAGTCTCAAGTTCCAATTTGTAGCATTAAAGTAAAATTTGTGCACTGGAGAACTGAGGGCCCATCGTCTGATTGGATTTTCTTTATTTGCAGTAACTATCCAGAGCTCTTATTTTCGTATGTAGCCCTACGATTTACCTCCTAAATATTACCATTCATCAAAATCATCTTATTTGGTCAGATTCAGTAATTTGGTATTTGACATAGTTCATCTGAGGGACCACATTCGGCGGGTTGTAGCGTCCAACTTACAACACCTACAAATTTGTCATTCTGGCTACATTTGTTTTAGAGGTCCTGCTAAATCTTTATGTATACGAAACCTTCGTTTTCCACAGTGGCCTCTCGAAGGGAACGCACATCTTTAAAGCCTGTATTGTGAAATGACATTCAGTTATGAATCTACATTCATGAATAGAAGCTTCATCACCATTATCATTCAGAAGCGTAAAGAGAAAAGATAGAGAACCAGTCTTCTTGGAATCGTCGATACTTTGACCTAGGCTGTCATATACTTACTACGTTTGCTGAAAACCCCGTAGTCTGTATTTCGTTGTTTGAAGGCTTCACGAGTTTACACCAAATCTAGAGTTTACATTCGTATATGAGTGTCGTTTCATAATGAGGTTATTGGCCAGTTTACCGGTTCTCGATAAAATTTCAGGTAGCTATAACGTTATCTAACAAATAGGTACCTAAATTTTTCTGATCAAATGTTTCTAACCTGGACCTGTAAAACCTAAGGCTGTAGTTTATCTGTCAGATAAATTGGCTATCAGAGACTTTATCGGTGACCGGGCCGTAAGTGTCATCACAATTCTCAGCTCCAAGCCAACCTTTATGTATAGCTCTTGTGATATAACGTGGTTTGCTTGTGTAAATATACAGTTTTATATCATAGCGTAATTATATTTTGTGTAATTGTAAAATAACGAGTGATTTAATAAAAAAGGCACAGTTCCTGGTACTTGTTTTCGAGATTCTATTTTGGTGTATCAATTTTACCCTGTGATATTAAACTGAAAGTTTGTTATCAGTTTCCCCAATTCATTTATGAATTGTTTTAAAATGAGTTTTGGTAAGTTGAGTGTTCGATTTTAAATAAATTGTACGTTTATTTATAGTAAGGTACTCGTTAATTTACAAAATATATTTAACAGTTTATTGTGTTGTTCAATAACCGATTTTTATTTATGATCAATGTTTATAGTTACTATTGAATGCTAGATAAATGTAGACCGGACCAAATAAAGTGCTGATTTTATATAGTTTTTAATTAATTGTCTTTTTCCCTCTGTTTTCTAAATTTTTCTTCGAGACGAGTAAACAAACTTGCTAATTCGGCTCGCGTTGGAACATTTTGATCTTAAAAAATTTATAACTTACTTTTTTTTTTAAATCAGGCTTCTAACTTCCCATTAAAAACTGTGTCTGTTCAGTTGGTCGCATTATTAATCGTTATTATTTCTCATATTTGATTGTTTAATCTAATCCTACGCTCACTACACTAACATAAGTTTCATGATACTGGCAGGTAGGGTATAGATATAATAAAATAGGTCTTTTTTATTTTTTGTCTGTATATTTTTCGTTTTGGTTGCCAGTTTTATATGACATTAAAATGAATTGGTAACACGTTAATGTATATGAGTATACTATACTTATCTGTTGACCTCTACTGAATACTGTCACATGTAAATGATAGGTCTAGTATGGCTGGAAAATAATGTAAATCCTACGTCCTGAGATAGGACCTTCCTAAATAAATCTAAATTTAGCCAAGTAAATCGCAAAAGTGTAACCTACCTTCAAGCCAAAAGGACCACTATTCAGGGCCTGGAGATCCCAATTTACCAACATTTCCAGCTCAAATCAATGGTAAAAGCCTTTCAAAAGATACGCATTCAACTAATAGATAAATTATGTACCCATCTATATAATATCGGTAAAAAACGCATCAATAACCATTCATATCCACTAGTTGTGGTCGTAAAAGCACGGTAATGTCGTATCTGTGTGATAGAGATAAGGCACAAAATGCTATGTCGACGGAACGTTGGATCGCAAAAGTAATTCTCAATGAGTGAAATATACGCGAGGATTTCCTGACGCCTCACGCAAATGGAAAATTGTTATTTTCCATCAACAATGTCGGCGGAATGAACCATTGATTTTGATCGCACTTGCTTGAAAATACAAATGATTGCGGTGTACGGATTTCTGCGTTTTCCTTACCAGTTTTCTTGCATACTTTACTGTCAAAAAGACAAAGATTTGCCACACTGGCGATTTTTTCTTGGATGCATTCACTTTGACCGCAGACCGCATGCAGAGTGACAAAACAATTAATTTTATCTCGGTTATTCAGTTAATTTTGCATTTTTTTGCTAACTGCTTTTTTATCCACAACGAGGAAGCTCTTGGCCTGTATCTCACCTGATGGCAAATTGGCAACTGCATAATGGGCATACAATTTTTAAATAGGGGCCCACCACGTTCATAGCCCTCATTAACTCAATAGTCCATCAACTCAAGGGGATCAACAAAACATAGCTTGTAAGCTACGTAGTGTTGGATCTCTCTCTCTCTTTTCACGTTTGGTAGCAGACTGTATCCATTAGCAGACTGCAACTAAACGCCCTTGGAGCTCAGAA